GCAAAAGAGAGAGGGGGGAAAGGGAGAGAAACTTATGAATGAAGGTTAGTTTATTTGATTTAATTGGATCATCATATCACTTATCTATGTACATTTTATATACTTTTTTTATTTGGCATAAAGTGCCAAATAAAAAATATTGTTTTGTATTGTATTGAGTGCCTGTAAACTTCCTTTTTTTAAAAATTAAATTTCAATTTAAGAAAAAGGATGACAACCAAATGTCAAATTAAATAAATGACATACTTTGCATTCTTTCACAATTTGATGATTCTTCCTTTCGTTTCTTCACTTTTTTGTTAAACTCTTGCTCCCGACGTTCTTCATCTGTAAACACGAAAAGGAATGAATTAAAAATAGATACAGTATAAGCTAAAGATGTTAATAAAGTAGGTTTTCATAATATGAAAAATCATGGCACACAGAATTGCTATAACAGAGAATATTCTGCTAATCCTACATAAGTCGAATATACACCATTATAATTATACTACCTTGTTGCAATCCTGGAATCAATTTATATATTACATCTTCAAGCATCTGGTCAGCCCTGATAACAAAATATGTAACATGGAATCAGATGTATTCACAGCACCAAGTGTGAGAACAATGCTGACAATACTTACATGATAAGTTGTCTAATTTGAAACATTTGAAATTGATGTTGTGAAATAGGATAAAGACTGTGGAGCAACCTTCATCGTAGGGGAAGAGGATATGGAGTGATATATTTGAAAATAAACAACAGACAGAAGCTAAAAGCTTCCTCAGGCCAACTTTGTGGTTGATAACAAACTGGTATATATATATATATACCTTAGCATTTCCAAGGGGTTGGTCTCATGAATAACAATATCACATGTTGGACACTCATTTATCTCTTTTTGACATAAGTGCTTTACAATGCAACTCCTACAAACTAAAAAAATAAAACACAAAACAAAATTAATGTCTTTGATTGTTAAAAAATCAAAACAAGGTGATTTGCTGCCCGTTAACTTTTTAATGCATTTAAAAAACAAAATTTTGTATCATTTACATATTATCAAGATTTCCTATCAAAAATTCTCATAATTTAACTATGTATTTGCAATTTTATTCAAGGCTATGTAACTGGGTTTGATTCCTAGACTCAACATAAGTAGAGTTTTGCATTTTTGTTGGACTCAGTCTTAAAAGGTTTTTTTTTTGATTCAGTGGTTTCCTTTCCTCTGCAACCTTAACATCCTAAATTTCAATTCATTCGGTGAGTAAGCCATGACCTGACTTAAACCATACAAAGGTTGTTTCAGGGTTTGCTCTGTGAGTTTGCCATGCCATGCCTTAAATCAACCCAGAGGTTGGGTTCAGGGTTCAATCTATGAGTTAGCCATGCCCTGACTTAGATCAGCCCAGAGGTTGTTTCAGGGTTTGATCTGTGAGTTAGCCATGCCCTGACTTAGATCAGCCCAGAGGTNTGAGTTAGCCATGCCCTGACTTAGATCAGCCCAGAGGTTGTTTCAGGGTTTGATCTGTGAGTTAGCGGTGCGCTGACTTAGATCAGCCCAGAGGTTGTTTCAGGGTTTGATCTGTGAGTTAGCCATGCGCTGACTTAGATCAGCCCAGAGATTGTTTCAGGGTTTGATCTGTGAGTTAGCCATGCCCTGACTTAGATCAGCCCAGAGGTTGTTTCAGGGTTTGATCTGTGAGTTAGCGGTGCACTGAGTTAGATCAGCCCAGAGGTGGTTTCAGGGTTTGATCTGTGATTTAGCGGTGCGCTGAGTTAGATCAGCCCAGAGGTGGTTTCAAGGTGTCATAGCACTGTCTATAAACAACATGATACTTACACGTATGCAGACACTCTGTGATACATGTTGGCTTTATCATGTACCCTCTACATAACCCACAGGTTAACAGGGGGTTGAGGTCACCAGCATATAGTTTTCTCTGTCTATTAGACTTAAGTAAAAACAAAAATTGAAACAGAGTTAATTAGGTTCTACTAATACAAACAATATTTTTTAAAAAGGTCAAAATAAATAAAGCGTAAGCTGCCATTTGTTCAAAGAAATAGAAATGGCAATTTTATATAAAATAAAAAGCTTCATTTTGATTTTTAGTAAAAACTACTGATACAGTACCTTTATTAAGTGTTACCTATCAACCTGTCAACCTACATTTAGCAGCCAGTTGTCACACTTCAGAATTCTTTTTGCATGATTTTATATGCCTATTAAACTTTACTTAACAACCACTTGACAATTTACCAAGTGTGGTCACTAAATTTTTGACCATAGTCATAAAATTTACTGCATAACATATAAATGTTACATTTAAAAAATGAGATTTTAACTTGTCGTTTCTATAACAACAACAGCAGCTGCAAGTTGATTGAGTTTTTTTCAGAATCAATTGACACATATAAACTGCTGATTTTTACTTGATTAAGATACTTTTCTTAACTATGACCTAATGAAAATGAAACTTTAACATCCAGAGTAGCTTTATTTGGGTTATCACACTTCCTTTCATCATTGGAGGGGGCTTCTAACAGAAAAGCAATTTGATACATCATACATTGTACCTTGTGCACTGCATTTGAGTAGGATATTTAAAGAAAAAATTTGATGGAAATTTCGTTAGAAAAATAAAACTCCCACGAGAATATTAAATCTCATTTTTCAACAGTGTATTTATAGTAATAAATTATATCAGTGGTATTTAAAATTATGCTGAAAGAAATACTTTTAAAATCATATCTTTGTAAATCTAATTTATTCCTGCCTTCAACAGCACTCAAAAAGCAACAGCTACTTCACTAATCCTTGAGTTTTATCTCAAAACCTCTAAAGTACTGCAAATCCATGTTGTGCTCCGATATCAAGTTACAAAAATACAGCCATTTTACATTTTTTCACTTGACAACTTTGAAATAAATAAGTCAACAAAATTAAAAGCTACTTGCCTACAAATGGCTTCGTTAATTCAAAAGTTTCAGTCGTTTAGAAAGAGCAATATTTAAGGTATTTTATAGCAGGAGGCTTTAATGTAAACAGACTTTCGAAGCAAACTATAATAAGCCTATTTGTATTGTCTTTGTCAACACAGATGCTAAAACGAAAAGAAGCGAAAGCAACAAACGATAAAAGAACATGGCTATCTAACAGTTATTAAAAATCCGCTTTCTAATCACCTGTTATTAAACTAGAGTAAATTCGTCTATATTTAATAAAGTATACTCGAACTTAACCTTTCTTTAAAGGTTTTACTCGTGAGAGATGTAAACATACAAGTAAATGACATCGTGTCAACAGTCCACATCGATAAGATTTTTGTCAAACAAAGTATTAAGAAAAAAAACTTGTGGCATCCAAGAATCAAAACTTATCTACAAGGCATAACTTCCAAATTAGCAGAACTAAAATCGTGACGATCAGAAAAGTTTTCGGTATCTTAATAAACGGAGAAAAATTCGTTCAGTTTTAGTCGAGACAAGCGTTTGTTATTGTTCTCTTTACGCATCAAACAATTATACTGAATTTCTTGAATATTTTCGGGCGAAAACATACATTACCTGTAGAATTGCCATTTTATGAGCAAGATGTCCAGTCTTGGGGTTCAAAAGGTTTAAAATTGTTAAGTTTTTTAATAGAAATCCATGTCCTTATGGAAAAACCACACAAGGTTGATAATCAGATCACTACATTGAACGAGGGAGACTAGGATCTAATGTAACCGAGAGAGCCTGGGATTCTTTTGTTCTGGRACCAAAATTGTAATATTGTAATATTTCCTAGTCTTCCAAATAAATTGTACTCCGTCATTCCAAACCTTTCAAGGCTTTCTGGCTCAGCATTTTGCCATCATAAAGGCCTTTTAAAACTAATATAGATATCGTATTGATTTTTAAGGGAACCAGAATCAAAGCCTGCGGCACCATAGAGTAACCATTTCCAGATTGAGAAGATTTTGCTTTTTTTAAGGCTTGAAACTAACGAAGATTTCAAATTGATTTTAAAGTTAACAGAAACGACGCCTTGCCGCAATCAAGAGTGACTAGGCTTCGGCATAGATATTATATTCAAATTCTAAGAGGACCACAGAAAAAACCTGCAGCAATCGAGTCGAGAGTGACTCTAGGCTGCATTATCAATTATCTTGCCACTAATGGTCTTGTATAATCATACTTTACAAATAGGCCCTTTGAATCATTTCCAGAATTAAAACAGTTTGAGAGTCAAAACGCTAGAATTTACTGAATATAGTGTTACGTTGGGGACTTTTCTTAATGATTTATTTTCGAGGTAGTCATCTCTTCAAGGTGTTTTTGCCTTCACTTTTTGTCCATTGGCTTGTCACGCGCGCGACGTATCTTGCTGCTAACAACTTTAACATTAAGGCAGGGGCAACTCATCCGGCCTAGATGTCTAAATGGATGGGAACGAACGGCTGTAATTGGCAACCTTGCAAAACGCTAGAATTTTATGTGAGTTTTTTTGGGTAARTAATATTTAAAAGGAAAATACTTTAACCCAAGAGCTGGTACTGTAGAATAAATGTTGTCAGCTGAATCTACAAAAACCCGTGACTCAAACATGACCTTTTCCCTTCTCGATTCAGCGGGACTTTCGTTTCGGTTTCCATTGTCATTTCTCAAATTTTAGAATGAGTTTTGTGCTGAGAGCGCACTTCTTCCCCTTTCCCAGTCAAACCACACGCCATTCTCTTTATTGTCATTTCTTTCTGCAGCTACGTTCGAGGGAAATAATCTAATTTCGTTACTGCAAATATATGTAACTCAAGCAGGTTCTAAACTGTCTGTTCTATGGATTTCGCATTCACTTCAGTTATTTTTGCATGTGTCCAATACCGTGGTAAACAAAATCCCCCAAGCCGCCACGTCATCCACCCTAGCGGAAGTCAAAATGAAAGTATATATAAGTGGCTGAAGATGAAGGGTTCAATTAATTTAAGATAATRATTTAACAGATAGAGAACCCTAATCTTAGGTCAAGTCTAAAGATAAATCGTGTGATCCTTTCCTGATACGTTGCTCTGATGTTCGACCAATTAATGTGCTAGAATGAGGCTTCGAAACCTATYCGCGACAAATGTATCTAGAAGTATTTAGTTTTTTGTCCATTGATCATTAGTTTGAACCAATAAATTATTTYCCCTAAGCCTTAGACCTGGTGAATTCAATCATACCGATCCGATTTACCGATTCAATATGAAATGTTATGCGCAAAGGATTATGGGTCACGTTGTCCGGTACTATCCTCCCCTTCCAACTGCTTGACAAAATAACTTTCAATGTTTTCTACAAAAAAAGTAATGCTTTCGTGATCGAAATAGATCGGTAAAAAAGTAAAAATTTTAATAGGAAAAATATTTGCAAAATTCCAAGGTTTTTGCGGAAAATGCAGAATGATTCTGTATTTTCCGCAAAAACCTTGATGCATTCAGCACTCATTCATTATCGAAATAGCGTATAAATAAAATGAATCTTGAATATACTTCAGCTACATTAGGAAGAATACTTGAAAATCTACATGCAAGGTCTTCCCGGAGAAAAATAATGCATTCACAGTCACGATCGAAATAGAACGGTAAATAAAGTGAATCCTCAATAGAAAAAAAACCCCATTTAATTAAATGACAATGATACACAATGATATACTTTAATATGAAAGTTAAGTATTTATTTATAAATAATGCTGAACAAGGTAGCTAGCTAGAAATAAAGAAATAGTGTTAAAGTTCATTTATATTTACGTGCTTTCTTGTCTTTTGTTTGTCTCTTGGTTTATTCAACGAATTTCGAACATCGTAAATAATAGTTTTGACTCTTGGCGGATTCGTCCCCAAACCAATAAAAGATAATAAGATGCAACACATGATTCAATGACAGTGCTTGGTCAAGTACGGCAACCATTTCAAAGTCATTCTACCTTACGTTTCTGAGGCCTTATGCGCCTTTTTATATTAGCTTATATTATATGATACATATTTACAACTAGTTATCGTCAAACACAAAATTTAGTATCGATTGGTCATCAATTTCTTCACTATAAAAAGCTCTAAGTCTTTGCTCTGCTCGTGCAAGTCCTTCTGGGTTGTCGGCAAATATTTCTAGTACTTTAGCGTACAAAAGATCATAGCGTTTATCTTGAATGCCTTTCTCATTTGAGGCACAACTGCTGTTATTATACGAATGGTGGGGAGGTCGTGAATAAGTATAGTGTTGTGCTGTGGTGAAAGTGCGCGGTGGAGGTAAGTGCCACTGCTGTTGTTGGATGGGTGTTTCGGCATAGATTGCAGCATCCTTAACGAAACGATTTCGAGCGTCACACGGAGGAGAAGACGAACCTCTACCAACTTGTCTCTGATTGCCACTTAAGAGTTCCTGCCGTCTCTTTGGATCTCTCTCAGGGTGATAAAAACGGCACTTTGAGCCGTAAGTACATCGACTGATATGAGGACAAACTCGAGGATGACTCTTGGTCCCTCTTTGCAGGAATTCCTTAAGGCTTGGTCCATATTTCCCAAGAGGATCATCTGGAGGCATGAAATAGTTTCCAACGAAAGAATACATCAAGAGTCTGTTTTCTATGACATCTTTCCAATCTGAGTTTTCTCTTTGGAGGTCGCGATAGTTATCATTGGAGACCACAACACCACCAATTTTGTAGGCCAAATCCACAATAAATCGATCATCATAACAAACGATATTTCTACCAGCTACACGACGTGATGGCGTAAATTTTACGAAATTTTGTTTCGATAGCTTCTGTAGGATATATTGATCGTTTATTGGGTAATCCATGCGGGGTGTTTCAGTGCGCCATTTCGGTACCAACGCATAGATTTCTTTATGACCTCTCTCTTTGAACCAGTTGACGCAAAGTTCAATTCCGCGGCATGAAAAGACTTGTTGRTTACCATGGCTCATTGCAACGTTGCTACCATCGATGACTATTGGAAGAAGTGAATCGAAAACATCTTCGCAGCGGCTTGGGGAAATCCCTTGCGGAACTGGCGCGCATTCTGAACTCCTGATAGAATCCCTTATCTGTGTTTCAGCTGCTCTGTGTGGAGCTGCACCTCGAGCTACAATTTGCYCCACTTTTGTAGCACCTCCACGAGGTAGACTGTCTATTACTTTAGGAAGAGTTCGAGATGTACCCTTAAGCTGAATAAGCTCCTGCAAGAGTTGATTCTGGTCCACGTCAGGGCCAAATTTCTTGGCCACCGAATTAACATCTTGTTCGCTGTAGCCTAACTTGAGAGCAAATTCTTTTAAGGATGGATTGATAGTTCCATCAGTGACAACTACACAAGGTAGTTTTGTGTCCTTGGGTAGACGGCTATGACTCTCATCAATCCAGGATTGGGCTAAAACTACGTTAATTTCGCTTCCTTTAATATTCAGTTTCTGTAAATTGTCATCAACGGTTGCTACAACACCAAACATTTTTTCCAAATTGAAAATATTTTCTTGATTCCTAAATGCAGGATACTCATCGATCTTAAGAAGAGTGGTAGTCGTTTCTGGAGAATCACAGAGTGCATTGATATAGTCCTTGACTTTTTCTAGTAGCTCTTCTGTGTTGTTTCTACTCGAACTCGAAACATTAACCCATTGCTTGCCGTCATCTTTATCGAYTTCTTGAGTTCGAATTTTCACTTCCTTGAAAAGACTGGCAATATGGCTCAAACTTTCACGCAAAATCCGAACTTTCTCAACCGATATAACGAAATTTTTATCCATTTTTCGAGAGCTAAACTTTTATCTCCTCCGTGCTTAAAGTCTTCTTTACTGTGAAACCTTGCGTCAGTCGCACAAGGAAGTATATAAGTGTTGAATCACTATGGGATAAAAATGGAATTTTGCCAACAACAACGGAAGTTGTATTTTTTAGGGGAATTCCCCGATTGGTTGCTTTTGATTCGACGAGCCACGTACAAGTTTAAACATGATATGTAAATATTATCTCTGGTGTTTCTAAAAACTAAAATAAACTATAAATATACAGAAATAGTACAACAATATTTTTGACATTCTCGCAATTTAGAAACGATGATAAATTTATCACAAAAATCAAAATGGCGATAATTTTTTCATTCTAATCCTTAACTCCTCATTATAATCGTYGAGTAAACTGAATTCAAATTCACTGAAACTTAAGGTAATAAAAATTCAAAATATAGGGAAACGATTAATGATATTTAATTGAATGTCAAAAAGACTCGGCCGAAACGTCAGTATTATTTTCTTGTTCTTATTAACCACGAGGGAAAACCCCGATCAATTGTTTTGGGACTCGAAACCTTTCCCAGCTTTTTCTTAGAATTCTAGTGAAGTACGTGAATCACTGTTAAATTTGTAGCCGGCCGAATTCCAAAAATTTTCAACTCACAGGATCGTGACTCACTGGCTCTAGCTCATTGCACTATTTAAGGGAGGTGACGTCAAACTTGAGCAGGGCCATATGTCAAATCACAATAGCGAAGGTAATCTGATCTCGTGTTTTACACGTGGCGCAGATTTTCTGAGCTGTATCGAAATATGAAAAAAATTTACCCCCAGCCTTGATGGCAAATCTTATCAGCTCTGCAATAATTTGTTGCTGAAATTATAGAATCAACAAAGCCAAACATGTTGTTGCGAAATCCATACGATATTAGATATACTTTTAAAAACTGCTCTATTTTTTTGCTATCATTTATTTACTTTTTGAGTTTTTGAGTTTTTGAGCAACAGCTAGAGTGCGAATTCTCTCTCATCTAGGAATTACATAAAAACCGTACAAAAAAATATTCAATGAATTCAATTGGCTTCCTGAAAGCTTATTGGAATATTTTTTAAATGTTGTATTTACATTTCATATTTTCTTACATCGTTATAGTAAATTCTAAGTCTATTTATAATTGCTTCATACATCGTAATTTAGCTCGACCGCCCACGCTCTTGGAGAAGTCCCTCTCAGTGCGATAACTGATTTACCACCTGTAGCCCGATGACGTCACCAAACAAACAAGGCCGCCATTTTCTCTCAGGGAAAACACAGGTAGCCCAAGTAAGGTTTTCTGCGTTGTCATATTAGAAAGTGTACTGAACTTTCTTAAAAACCTCAATAAAATCTTCAAACTAAAGAAATCCTAATTGACCTTCGAAAAGTAGTACCTCTTTTGCCCTGTGTGTTAAGCCTTTGGGATTAAGCCAGTTTAAACGTTTTTCTYGCCCCCACCCGTTAAGAAAGAACGAGCTGTCTAGTGTGGGTATAGTGAGCAAAAGAGGAGCTAAGTGCTTTCAGTTTCTGACTCATCATTATTACATCATTAATGGCTATGTTCATTGAGTTGACTTTTTGGCAAGAAGGAGCGTTTATTTGCACCAACAGGCCGCGATAATTTTGGCAAGCAGTAGCATTGATATTTGCACCAACAGGCAATGCAATTACGGTTATTAGTTACATAACATAARTTACCCCTTTAGGATTGTTGGCAATTAAGCTTCTCCATTTTCACTTGTCACCTAAATGAGAGGTAACATGTTTCTGTCATTTTCTTTAGGAAGAATGGCCTGACCTTCTTACTCAACGAAAGCTGATTTATCTCTTAGACTCAATAAAATTGATATGATAAAACTTAGGATTTCCCATTTTCCWATGAAAAAAATAATTAGGAGAAAATAAAAGCAATAAAAAATATTCAGATGTGCAAATAAATGAAAAAACTGTAAAAAATTTGACCGTCCGAGCTAGAAATCAATTTAAAAAATTATATTAAATCTGATTTATCACATCCTTAACTTTCGGAACGGCGCAGGAAAAGCATTAAATATTTATGAAACCCTTACTTTTAGTTTGTCATTTCTCTTTTTGTTGTAAAARGGAGAAAGAGAAAGAGCCATTCGCGAAAAGGCGAAGGTTTAGGGACCGTCCACACTATGCCGGATAAATGTGAATCCGAATTTTCAAACCGAAACCGAAAAAAAAGTTTTCCGTCCACACTAATACGGCTAGCCGGCGTTTTCAAATTGTTCCACTCTGGAGACCGTATTCGAAAAAATTCGTTTTCGTTGAATCGCCCGGACTAGTGTGGACGGTGGGCCTAACCGAATAAATAAAAATTCGGAAAATCCGGCATAGTGTGGACAGGGACTTAGTGAAGGAAGGAGCTTGTAAAAAAAACACAGCCGTTTCCTTGCCAGGTTAAAATAAAATCTACAAAGAGATAAAAACCTAAAAGTAAACCTCTAAAATGTTAATACCTCAGTTTGCGTAATTAATATATAGAACAAAGCAAATCATGATGGAAATCGGAAAAGCACCATGGCAAAACGACCCCGGATCCACTGACAATGTTACTTCAGTTCATTAATTTGTGAAGACATGCTTTAATTCCTTCAAATTCTACAAGTAATTTCAAGAGGCTTAGCTTCGAAGTAAGATTCACTGACTTCACACGTACCGTATCTAGTTTTCTCTAGTTTTGACAGCATTTTAAATAAATTGTGCGCCTAGTCAGCCGTCAATTGACATACACGAAGATTCAATTTCCTGTGTGGTTAGTCCCTCATTTGGGTAAGAAACGACCCCTTCCTTTAACGTCATAAAAAAAAAATCCCCACAATAACCAATGCAAAAGACTAAATAAGCCTTAACCTTATATTTTAYTTAATTTGAGCGTGTCACAGATAATTGTGTTTGTGTTTGTTCATGTTTATTCAAATCAGAGTCATCAGAAATCCTATTGACAAAGGCTTTAAGAGTGACATCTTTTGAGATGGAACTCTACTAGGTTTGTTCGAGTTTAATGCGATCAACTTCTCCAGGAATTGAAGAGATTTTCTTGTATCTKTAAGAGGTTGCCTATCACCCCAAGCCAAGCGTAAATGATTAGTGATGTGTCAAGAAAGATTCAATATAATCGTTTGTTGGTGCATCTCTGGAGAATATGATGAATACTGTTATTGTTGAGGTAATTCTTGCGCTGACCGCCTACTGTTGTGAACAAAGTTGGCCTACGGGCATTTAAAGCTGTTTTGTTTTGTATTTACTACTCAATCAATGCTTCTGYCATCGCTACTAGACATGGGACGTTCTCAAGTTATACTGTATTGATGAGCTAACTCGACACGAGTCGAATCGATGACAGAAATTCGCCACTTGACTAGATTTTCACTCAGTATTCTCGGTTGAGTTCATTTTAAATCACGATCGCTYGAAGTCCATGCTTGGTTACTAGTCAATTCACCATTTAAACGCTTCTTCAAAGCGAAGAAGATGGAAAGGACCATCAAACTATGTGCAGTGAGGGAGCATATTACGTGTGGACTATGTGGCGGCTACTTAATTGACGCAACGACTATCGTGGAGTGTCTCCACACATGTGAGTACACCACTAAACTACACTGATGCTAACTTGTTTGTTTGCTTCTTCTTTAAACTATGATGGAAATTTTTTTAAAAGGATATAACTTATATTAGGGCTGAGAATACATACGAGATGCTAAGTGGCTCTTAGAAACTCTGTACCCATGTCGACCAGCATCAAACATCTTTTCCACTGTTTGCCATGTTCTGGCGTCAACTGCCTACTAGCTGTGTTTTAAATTCTTTGCTTTTACGAAAATAAAATTTAATGATTATCTAAAAGATTTGTGGTCCGATTTAGTGTATTTAATACTGCATCATTATACATTTCCTCGCTTCATACACCGCTTAACATAATCTCTATCAATCTTATATTTATTCGCTCAAAGATCGCTGAATACGAAGTGCCATTTACGCTGATAGATCAGTCCTTAGTGCATGCCTAATACTGAAGCCAAATTGTGATTAAGTATAGATGAGTGTTTACAAAAGAGCTTGAAATTGTAGGTACCATAAGTCAGCTGTTTAATTGAGAAATTTTATACTTTTCGTATAAACATAACAGTAGTTATTTTATGCCATTTACAGTCTGCCGTAGTTGCTTGGTCAAGCATTTACGAGAGTGCAACTTCTGTCCTTCATGTAAAATTGTATTGCATCAAAGTCATCCAATGAACTACATAAGGTAAATGAACACCTTTGACGTTTAATGTTAAAAAAAATAATAATGTGATCCTATGTAGCAAATTAAGAAACCATATGCATTGTGAATAATTCATGTGTAGTTATTATAATGGGGAATGGATTAAGATAGATATGAATCAACTTCTTGCATATCACATAAATAATTAAATGACAAGCTTTATATATGAATAGCTAGCTATCTCAGCTACTCTTTAATTTTCCGTTAACTACATCGTGAGTAGCGCAATATCGGAATGAATTTCCAAGTTAAGATATCCGTTCTATTCTATTCCATTCCTACACCTATTTTGCCAAAAAAAGAGCATTTAATAAACGTCTATAACTCCCTAGAGAATGGCGCATAGCTTTGTTAGTGAAATGCAAGTCGAAATTAAAGAAATATTATATGTTTTCATACCAAAAAAAATACATATTGGTGCCCTAAAAGTCTCTAAAAAAGACTCTCAGTACGACTTACACCGATGACTTGAGCTGCCGCAATTCACTAAGACAAGGTTTTTCAGTGGCAAAGATATAGAACTAAAAGTGGTTATATTGGTTAATTGACAATTGATATCATGTATGTTGGTTCTTTTGGCTTGGTTTTGTCTTCAATAATTTTCCATATTGACTCAAAACTGTGGTTACTATATGCGGGCTTCATTGGTATTCTAAAATAGCTAACAATTCTAGGTGATTATGGAACAAACCGCAATATGGTGCGCATGTATTGAAGTGAAGAAAAAATCTCAAAAGCGGATATTCTAATCTGTTTGACAACATATTAACAAAACCTTTTAATTGCTTTTGTCAATGGTTCCGAACTTCATATTGCCACACCTAAACCCCGAAAAATTTTAAGAATTTGTTCTGATATTTCTTGCATGGAGTTCTGCAGTGTTGAGATATGATGTGTATGTTGATGTAATGGTTTTTCCTGCGTTTTTTTCCACAGTACTGATCGTACCTTACAGGATATTGTGTACAAATTGGTGCCTGATTTACAAGAACGTAAGTCTTTTTACACGCCAGTTTTCACGTGATAGGTGGGAAACGGGTACTCTGACCCTTAAATGGCTTCTACCCTGAACCAATCAGAAAAGTATAAAACCTACTTTACCCAATCAGAGTGTCTTGTTGAAAAAAGCCATCTGAGTGTCAAAGTAATGGAATTTTCCATTCTTGAATTACTGTGATAATACTGTATAGTAACTTGAAACACGTAACTGAATTCCATCTGGGAGTTAATCACGAAAGTTAAGCTTTTTCTTTATCTTAATACCAGTGCTAGGCTGCAAAGGAATCCTCATTACTAGGCACTACTTACTGTGTGGCATTTTCGTTTTCCTACGTACATGCCAAGAACCGGACGTGTCCCACAGTGATTGCTTTGAATGGTTATAAAAAGTGGTTGCGGTTTGCGCTTTGGTAGCCTGTCTAAGTGAGGGCACTATGCGGACTAAGGCCGGGCATCTGATGATTTGGCACGAATCCTTTGCGTGCCATTTGCAAGGGATGGAAATGTTTCCCATTTTCTCTCCCAATCCCATTACTTTGTTTCCATTTGTTAGTAACCCAGATATTTCCACTATGCTTCTTCATGCAGGTGAAATTCAACGACAAAAGGAATTTGAAGTAGCAATGTTTATGTATCGTACAGGGGAACAACAAAATATACACAACAATAGCCAGAAAAATATCTCGTCTCCAAAACCCAAAGGTATAATGATTTCATCTATACTCTCTTCCTTTCCTTCATTTTGTCCCCTTAGCATATTTTATTCTTAGTATCATTTGTATAATGAAAGGAGTTTTATCGTTGATGTAAATTAAATGAAAAGAGCAGTGGTCCGAGCACTGAGCCTTGAGGGATATCAAAATTTGTGTTTTAAAGATTAAATAAAAGACCGTTTGCATATCGTAGATCTATATTCAAGCTTGAACATAATAAAAGGACAGAAWCCCTCATCCTACCAATCGCAGTTGCCTAACTTTATTATCACATGCGCTTAAATAGATTGAATTGTTTATCAAGAGCATAAGAGGCGCATAAGTATTTAAAAGATCGAGAACCCCTCTCCTTGGGTTAAAGGGTTCTTGTCGTCCTTTCTTCTCTTTAATATGATTGTAGTTAATGAATGGCTTAACAAGTAAAATCCTTTTTCTTGCAGTAGAAACTTATGCCGATACTTCGACATCTAAAGAAGATTATCATCGAAATGATGAACAAACGGCTATTTGTATGGAATGTTATAGGTGAGAACATGGAATTTTCCACTGAATACACTTCTTTTTCTCTTTCTTTTTCATTTGAATTCTTAGCATAGTGCTTCAAGAATCGTATCAAGCTATATTATGGATTCTCTACGCCTTATGCGCCTCTTGGTGTGTCAGCATCAACATGACATAATGGGTCCCCYGTAGTTTCTTCGTTGTATTTTCCCTTTCGATACTGCTAAAGCTCCATCATGCCCCCAGGCACGTCCGCCAAGTTACAAGTTTCAAAAAAGTCTCATTTAGTAATGAAAGTTTTGCGATTGTTTGCAGATCTTCAAATGGAAAATATTTATTAAAGGTAAGTGGGCAAAAAAAAAAGGCCACGTAAATATTGAATCATGCCGCCTTGTGAGATTGATCGAATCTTAGGTTCTTAAAGAAAACACGACGGAAAAATATGGTTAAAGAAAAAAATAAAATAAATAAATAAATAAAAAAAGAAAGAAAGAAAAGAAATTTAGGTCACCCAGTTTTCGAATTTCAAAAGGCGTTTGCCAATATCTCGACTTATATTCACCTATTTCATCTTTTCTCTTCAGCCATTGACTCGTAAATACCTAAAACTATCATCACAAGCTACAGTTCAACATCTCAAGAAATTTATCGCTAAGAAACTTGCTTTGGATAACCATACTGATGTGAGTCTTCTTATTTTACTTAAGTCTCCGAATTACTGTCTCGCTGCACGGGACGAATCATATCTACGACTCTTTGCAAGACTGTTGTACAAGTGTCAAATAAAAGTGGCGTCTTTTTAAATCCATCGACTTTTATTGAAACGGTGTTTGCACCCAAMTCGAAAAATTACCTTAATCTCTTTTTAAACTTATATTATTGGCGCGCATCCTTCCCATGAGAATAAAAACACAAGTATGTGGCCGCCATGTTGGTTGATATATCAAAAGAAAGCAAGACCAAATGTTTTCTTAAAGTCAACGGACATGGCGGCTAGGAAGTCACATGCACAAGGACAAAACTAGTGGACGCCGTCGTGGCCACCATTTTAATTGACAAAAAAAAAAATGCACTCCAAGCGATTTAGCAAGTCTAATGGGTCAATGCTTTACGAACTATCCCATTTGTCTCATTTGAATGTTTGTTCGTTTATAAAAATTTAATTTAAAGGTATAATGCAAAAACAAAACAGAACGCTCCCCTCCGAACTGTTTAATGTGAAGGGTCGTATAACCTGCATTTTTGTGTCGTTACAGGTAGATATTTTATGCAATGATGAAATTTTAGGAAAGGATCACACTATTAAATTTATTATGGTAACTCGCTGGAGATGTAAGGTAACCGTAATAATTATGAAATATGTATATGAAACTTCATCCGGGTCTTGTCAGGGACATGCGTGTCACGAGACGTCACATTTTCCCGCCTTTTTTCGATGCTGAATGAACTGGGGGGAAACATGGCGACTTCAGCGAAAATTTTCAAAATTGTTTAAGGTCAATATGTCGAAGAGCAAGATAAACTAGAGAACTTAACTCTAAAAACGAAAGGCTTAAATCTCTGGAAACACTTAAACTTTGCAACTATTTTGGAGCAAGCAAGAAACATATAACTGAACTCGCTGAACTGAGAAATCTTCTCCGAAACGCTTACGGTTATATGCGTTGCGGCGGTTTGTTTTTAGACTTTATGTTATCTTCCATCTAATATTATCCTTTATACTAATGGATTTTTCTTTTTCTTTTTTAGGATTCTCCGTTACTGCTGCATTACAGACCAAGTTTGAAGCTTTTGTATTAATAAATGCTGTTGATTAACAATAGCTTGGCAATTTATCAGCCACCGCCACTGGAAATTCTCTAGTACCTGGCAAACAATCGCCGATACGACAGGAATAACATTTTTGACATCCCTTGGTTTTGGCTTTTCATTTCTTTACTGTTTTTTATAATATATGGGATGTTATATCTACGTTTGCCTGTAAAACGTTTGAGTTCAGATTTGCCACACAAGATGGCGGACAATAGTCACGTGACGTATTGAAGCAAAGCACTTCAAATCAAGATGAGATGGTCAGTATTTAATAAACATCGTTTGCTTTTTCCTTGCCTTCAAAAATAGGTAATGTTAGAAATCTAATCTTAAATTATAGCATTTTTCTTGCCTTTGCATACATTTATTTATACGCATAAATATATTATATTAGCCAGCATTGTGCCACATTGCACTGTATAAGAAGTTACTGTTGGATTAATTCAGCTTATGAAGAATGAATTTTAAAGAGTCGTTTTTATACACAAAAATATGTAATCACTGCAAATACGTGCTCACGCAAACCCAAAGAAAATAATATAAAGATGGCCATTATAAACTTGACATGTTATTTATTTACCATATTTGGCTTCTTAATTCCACTGTATATATTTTATTGCTCTACTAAAACTCTAACCAAAGGAGACATTTCCCATATCCTCACAAACATGTATAATGCCAATGAATATTGGATCAAGCCTGGATTATTATTTGCAAGGGTGACCCGTTTCAGCTAGAGTTAGAGCATCAATCTATAATACAAAGTCCCACAAACTCTTTCCCATCTACCAATTTTCTTGTGGTCAATCAAGCCTAGCTCACAAACAGTTTGTGTGATTAGAAGATGGTCTTGTGCTAGGGTATCATTCATCTAACTTTTCTTTACTCRTCAACTAACCCAAGGAGATGGGTGTGATTGAAGATGACAGTAAAGCTGCAGCTAAAATTTCCTCACTAATATTTCACAGTCTCTCTCAACTAGCCTTTCTTTGTCCTATACTATCAAGTCCAACCCAAAGAGAAAGTGTGCGGTTAGAGGGTGAGCCTGCAGCGAGGGTATTCATATCAATAAATGAAACACAATTCAGTTGACATGTTGAAAAAATCACATGCCATGGTTGTGCTATCAGGCCTGCATCCGACATCTTGATGACATCATCTAGTTTATAGAGGTTTATCGTCTGGTTCTTTTGTACCACAGCCAACCATCCTATTTCATGTCAAATTCAATGCAAAAAGGCTGTTATTCACAGGAGTGGATCCAGGAATCTGAGAAAGAGGGGCTGAATAAATTGGGCATTAGTCTATGCTGACTGCATATGCCCCTTGAGGAAATGTTTAAATAAAATATGATGACTAAACATAAGCTTTAGCTGGCTGCTTATAAATGATCTATTTGCAATAAGAAAAACAACAAGTGAGTGAGCTCCTCCTCCTAAGCCAGTACACCCCTTGTGAGGTATAGGCCATCAACATCTGAATGCCACAGAACCCTGTCCTTCGCCTTGTCCTCTAGCTGTTTCCAGGCATGCCCCAGCCTCATTGAGCAAGCTAGTAACACCCAATATGCTGTTATCAACTCTAAGTAAAGTATCATAGTTTACCTTCTGGAACTTTTTTACTTTTAGCTTGCACAGCATACACTGCATTGCCATTCTTACTACTTGGCAAATGAATTGGAATTAGTTTTGAGAATGTTAGGAACCACAGGCATCCATTGTTATCACATATTATACACGAACTGAAAGAACTACGCTGGATATCTGAAACACAAGAAATCATGTCAAATTAATTACAAAACCATGTGTGACAAGTTGGATAACTRATAAATTATAAATGATTAGTAATAATTATTAGAACATGCTGATTTAGTCATTTTAGAAGGGGGGTTACTATTATAAAGGTTTTACCAGGAATGTGAGAAAAAGGGGGGTGGCATACTAAGGATAATAGTGAGAAATTTGAGCACAAGGAGGGAGGTGATTAGTCACCCCCTCCACCATCCCTGGATCTGCCCCTGGTATGTTAGATTAAAGGCCACAGGATTTAGAGTCCAAATCTGGACCCAGACCGTACCGTACACTTACATTCTTGCAAAAACACACTTGCAATCTCCCTGGTCTATTCAGTGCACTGGGAGCAGGTATGGATAGCAGCAAATTAAGAGTTACATATACATGACAAAATGCTGATGAAGGGAGAGAGTAAATTGCTGTGATTCACTACAGAATTCTGTCCACATAGGATTGGGATACTCTTAGTCTTTTCATACTACAGAAATGAGGGTGAGCACCAATGCTGATGACAGTGCCTCACCCAATTCTGATTGGGACAGAATATAAATGGATTGTATGTCAAGATTGAATCTCACCATCAGAATCAGCTACAGTACATAAATACCTTGAACAGTACTGCTTTGGTCCACAGAGGGGAATCGGAAGAAAATGGAATTGAATACAGTGTCTTCTTCATCAGTTGAAGAGGATAATACATCTATAAAATATAAGAAAAGTGGTTGTAACTAAAAACATTAGATATATAGCAAATAATATTGTAATAAATGAATAGACCAACCAATCAGGTCACATCACTTCACAGAAAATCAAATAAAATGTACAGTGTATGTATGTCTACAGCCATCACCTGTCTCGATGCTGTAGTCCTCTACAGATATTAACAATAACAACAGATATAAACAATAATTGTGGACAGTTCGACAAGTATATTTTCTTATTTACAGTAATACAACCTTCATTAAATGAACAGCTTTTTGTATGGTACCAAAATTTACCCCCATATTTACTGTAAAGCAAATTCATTTTCAATTGAGACCCTTTATTAAGTGGACACAAGGAAAGGTTCTGAAGATGTCTGCTTAATAAAAATACCAGACTATTACCAAAGGCTGAATATCCTTTTTTATGAATAATAAGAATGTAAATAATCRAAACATACCTGTATGAACAGATTTGGCAGCAGTAAATATCTGAACTCCACTAGACTCACCAACAACAAGAGATGGAATACCTTAAGTACATAAGAAAGTGATGAATATTGACAATGCATGTGGTATGGACTGTTATTCAAATACACTTTGCATTATTTACACAATGATTCATTCAACATCATTCCTGTTATGAAGCAGAATTGGAATTATAAAGGATGACGTCTATCTTAAGGGGTCTTGTGTGTTCCAGTATAGCCTTGCTTGTTAGAAACCCAATGAAGAATAGCCCCTGGTACTCCTGGTTGGGGTTAGGCAATAGGTTATATACTACCTCCTCACTCAAAGTGAGGTACCACATTGACCCCTAGATCTGTTTGGTTTTGTTGCATATTTGAAATTTGGATTATGGCAACTTCAAATATGCAACAAAACCAAACAGATCTAGGGGTCAATGTGGTATCTCACTAATTTAAGTGCAAAAGTAGTATATAACACTTTTTTTGCCAGGTGTCACCTTGCTGGCATGCAGTAGATAAGTGAAGTGATGGGTACAGCCATGGAAGTAGGGTCACATGACCTGTTGCRACTTACTATTTTTTGTATCTTCGTCTGAAAACATCAGTCCAATATCTTGTACTACCATAGATGTTCTTACTGCTGTCACAAGCTCCAAACTAATACAAGAATTATCTGTCTGGAAACATAGAATTTAAACATCATTATCAGTCGATCTTAAAAATCAGCCAATCTTAAAAAACAAGCATTTCTTAAAAGTTTCAAAAATATGATGTGGAAGAGTTATTACAAAGAGCAATCATCATTGCCTCATTTTTGTCCTTAGTTTTTGCTTCCATTTAGTGTTAGTTTGTTGTTGTTGTTTTCGTTTGTTGTTTAGTTAAGTTTGTTGTTAAGTGTGATCATCCGGGTGAGTGTAGTCTTGAGAAATACTATTGTTGGTGGTGACTGATGTTTCGACAACCTGAGCGGAAGTGATCTTCAGAGTCCAGTAAGAAAACGAGAGACCAATAACAAGAAGACTTACCTTTTTACATTTCCACATGGCTACAAGAGTAGGACCAACAGGAATTGCAATATAGTCCATTAAAGAGTTGATTTTCACAGGATTTTGTGTAGCAGAAACTTCAGGTAGATTGACAATTGCTCTGAAATCATTGACACCATTCTATTTTAAACTAGTTACATTGTTTTAAATCTTATCTTGTCTTTGTTGGAAAACAGATGTCTGGGTATCGTCTGGGTAACTAAATTTCCACAGTACTCAATCTCGACCTAGCTAAATATTCCTAGTTAACAGCCAATGAGTATCCAGTAAACAGGCATTCAGGGGGTGGGGGGGGGGGGGGGGGAGAGAAAGAGGGAAGAGAGCAGGATGGGGGAAGGGAGAGCCCATGCTTTTTCTTTCCTTCAAGAGTATATTCACAGGAAATCCATAAAGAATGAAGAGAAGTACTTAATAAACTCACTTGGATTTGCTATCGTTCATATTAAGTCTCTGCATGTCTTGTACAGTTATATCCTTGGCTGTGAAACCAAAATTGTTGGTGACATCCCATGCCTTGAACTCTAGTACAGACCTTCCTTTTACGCACACACATACACTAATGAGATATATACTGCCATCCTCTAGGTTGACAAAAGCTACTGATGTGTTCTCATCTAGAGACAATGGTGAAGTTTCTCTCTGAAACATAAGGACACTATGTAAAATGCAGTTGTTTTTAGAGGGAGGGTTAATATACATGTACTCGTCAACTTGACCATGCGCTGTACCATACAGGGAAACCAGTAGCATGTCATGGTTAATAGTGCATGCTTGATTCAAAAGAAGAACATTTATGATTATACTTGTAGCACCCTCCCCCCTCCTCGGCCACATATACACCTATAGCTGTCACATAGATGCATATCATATGCAATATAGTTGGATTATAATAATATATCTTTATCAAAATCAAAAATAAATAAATAAATAAATGGAAACATAAAATCGCAAGATATACTAGTATAATAGGGTAACAATATCGGATAATAGCGTTACCTTCAACATATGAACATCTACTTTCTTGTCAGAGTATTCAATGGCTGCTAACTGACCATGACTGTTGGAAGTAGTTAAGTTCTTGACGGTTTGACGTGTTTTTAGCGTCTGAAACCACATCGTATGTAAGCTTCTGAGATAGTAGTGTTTTCCAAGTAAATGAGTTAACCGACGTAACAAACGAATGACAGAGAAATATAATAAAATAAGAAGAAGAAAAAACCGATTCAAAACATTTTACGACCAAAACATGGCGGATGCTATGTAACCTGGCCTTCTATCTCGTTTATGGCCTGGGGCTACCTTCTTGAGACCAAGTGTCATTCTCTTCAGTATTATATAAACTATAAAGATTCCTTGTCTGAGGAAAGCGTTTGTGTGTGTGTGTGTGCAATATGAATACAACACCTCTGCACGAGCTGTTGCATGCACAGTCAGTGGYGGATCCAGGGTTTTTCAAAACGGGGTCCAGATCGGGGAATAGATTGCTATGACGTCATATTGACGTCATATGATGTCAAAGTATTAATTGTTTCGTTGCTTTTACCTACTATATAAGCGCTGTTAGTTTGAATAAAAATTATAAAATTTGTCTTAATAATAATA